CCCCCCCCCCCCCCCGATTTCCAATATTTTTTCTTGTGAAAGGCCAAAGTATTTCAGTTATTAATATGTTATTATATAATATAATGTAAAGTTATTAAAATATTTGAAAACAAACTCAGGTTTTTGAACTGCTTATTTGTAGGTGTTTCAACCAAAGCCTTCAGATCATGAAAAATATGGAGGTGATCCTCAGCAGCCTCACAAATTGCATCTTATAACTAGAATCAGAAGTGTAATAGGTCGGCCTTACTGGGAAAAGAAGATAATACAGGATTTTGGATTGGTTCAAGTATGTTTGCTAAATTAATTTAATATTTGCAGATCAGAAATAAAATTAACTTAGACTTTTGAAGATAAATTCTCTTTTTCAAATGTTTATCGTAGTACTCAGTTTTATCCTTTAGGGGCCAGATCCTGCAGACATGTGCAGGTGTGCCTTCACTACTTGTGGCAGTCAAGCTGAGGATGGGTAGGTTTGGATCTATCCTGCGTGACTGTTAGTGGAAACTGATCATGTGCAGGGAAACTAGAACAGCAATATTAAGATTGTCTTGCATATGTGAGGAGAACTTTACTCTTCCATGTTCAGTAACCAAAAATAACATGTATTTGTAAATGCTGACCTTGCTTTTATTTATGGATCATACTGTTTAGGACAGGGCTCAGCCACCTGTAGGCCTGCAGGCCAGATTCACCTAAGTAGAGATTAGTTCTGCCCCTTGGCAGCTGGGAGACTCAGCAGCATACTCTAGCGGGAGCAGCAGAGGGAGTCCTCCCCAGGGACCTTATTGCCTGTCTTGTTCCATATTCTCTCTACAGCATTTGCTGATCAGTCAGGGGTGTGAAGATTTACAGCCCATGGGAGGGTTGGGTTGCAGGCAGTGGCCCACAGCTGCAAAATGTTACCCATCCTTGATTTAGGGTTTGCAAGGATTTGGGCACCCCTGGTTTATTACAAAAATCTGAATGCCCAAATGTAACACATCTTGGTGTATAAACCAGAGCACGTGTGGCCCATGAGGGATTAAATTATGGCCCCTGGGCTCTTGTCTGACTTCCAGTTCCTTCACCTTTCTCCCCCCTGGTATGGCCTGGGGTGTCTGTGACTCATCCTGGTGTGGCCTGTGGGCATGCACTCCCAGCCATTTAGAAGCTGGATGGCTCTGGCATAAACCATGATTTGTCCAAAAATTATTGGTACAATATATTATTCCCTTGTGTTTGAGATTCTTCAGGTCAGGGCATGGAAAAAATACTGTGCAAGTTATGGGATAAGGTTACACATGACTGGTTGAAGACTTGGGATGCTTGCAGACATAAAAAAAAAAAAAAAAGGCACTTTAAACTTGATGTGTTCCCATGCTAAGCCCCACACATGCCCAGAGGGACAGTGTATTACTCTAATAGCTGATTGAGTCAGCTTTAGCTAAAAGTGCCAAAAAGCCCTGCTGAAGCACCCAATCTTTACAGATGCTGCTGGGCCAGGTTGAAGTAAAACACTGCTTCTTCCAGTAAAACGTTTATTTATTTTTAAATGCCTGCAAGGAACCTTTGAGAGTGAAATAGTGGGAGCACATGATTTTTTTTGCATGAACTGCTTGGTGAATGTTTGTGAACACACAAGGATAACAATTAGTTTCTAGTAAATGGGACTGAGATCAAATTAAATTTATCATCTTAGTTGGGCCTAGTGATTTGATTGGTTCTAGATTTTCACTTTTTTAGATCAATTTATTTGTCGTTAATATTGTGTCTATAGCCGAATCTTTTATTGGTACAAAATTAAAATGTTAGCTTAATGCATCATTCGCTAGGGGCTTGCATTACTATCTGAAGCATATTTGTAAAACTTTCCATTTTGCTTTATTTTTAGGCACATCAGCCCAAAGTTCACAAAAATATTCCCTCTGTGAATTTGAAACTCAGAGTCATTAAACATCTGATAAGGTTTGTTAACTGTTTCTTTAATCAGCAGTATTAAAAAAAAAATATTGAGCATGGCAGTGTTTTTAAATTAACTCTCTTGCATGTAGAGTGCAGCCACTGAAGTTACCGTATGGGCTTCCAACAGAGGATGAAATGGGAGACACCTATCTCAACAGCAAAGGAGAGCTAATAATTCGGCAGCGTCTGAAGCCAGTGGAGCAAAAAGCAATTGAGTCATAATATACACTGACTAGTCTCATTTTGATCAAATAAATTATTTAATATGTACATTGAAGTTGTGTTTATTAAGAAAGGGTTGTAATGGAACTTAGCCCCTCTGTGCAGTATGTAATGTATTGCCTTGCTGTAACTGATTTAAATAATTACGTAGTTGTCATGCGAGCAAAGACATGGGTTAAGGCTTGGGATTGGTAGGGGGAAAGCCCCTCATCTTGGATTTTGAGTACAAGGGGAGGGTGAAGTGTGGAGCAGGTGGCTGCTGTGACTTAGGCTGGCTACAACAATCAAGGACAATAAAAAGTCCTTCTACAGATACATAGTGATCAAAAAGAAGGTGCAGAGTAGCATAGGGCCTCTGCAGGACAAATCAGGTCAGTTGGTGGTTGATGTAGACAAAAAGGCAGAGCTCTTCAATGAGTTCTTCGCTTCAGTTTTCCTGAATACTGACCAAGACAATCCCCCCACCCTGAACATAGACAGATGTCCAAAAGGCACCAGACCGCCAAAGGTTAGTGCTGACTTAGTTAAAGAGCACTTGGAAGGGCTGGATGGGTACAAGTCAGCCGGCCCGGATGACCTCCATCCACAGGTGCTGAAGGAATTGGCCAGTGTCATTGCTGAGCCGCTGGCACAGCTGTTTGAGCTCTCATGGTGCTCCGGACAGGTCCCCGAGGACTGGAAAAAAGCCAACGTGGTGCCCATTTTTAAGAAGGGGCGAAGGGAGGAGCTGGGTAACTTTAGGCCAGTCAGTCTTACCTCTATCTCTGGGAAAATACTAGAAAAAATCAAAGAGCACATTTGTGAAAGCCCAGCAGGGGAAACAATGCTGAATGGAAACCAGCATGGGTTCCTCGCAGGTAGATTCTGCCTGACAAACCTTATAGCCTTTTATGACCAGGTCACACACTGCCATGACACAGGAGCGGAGGCCGATGTCATCTGCCTGGATTTTAGGAAGGCCTTCGACACAGTTTCGCATCCTATTGTCATAGGGAAGCTAATGGGCTGTGGAATGGATGCTTACATAGGTGGGTAGCTAACTGGCTTAGGGACTGCACCCAGAGAGTGGTGGTTGACGGATCATTTTCAACCTGGAAGGAGGTGGGCAGATGGGTCCCACAGGGTTCAGTCCTTGGGCTGGGATTATTTAATGTCTTCATCAATGATTTGGATGAGGGTGTCTTGAGCACCCTCTCCAAGTTTGCAGATAATACCAAATTATGGGGCAAAGTTAATACACCAGAGGGCAGGGAGTAGTTACAGGCCGACCTGGACAGATTAGATCAATGGGCGGAACGTAATAGGATGTAATTCAACAAAAATAAATGTAAGGTATTCCACCTAGGAAGAAGGAATCCCCAGCACACCTACAGTTTGGGGGATGTCCTCAGCAGCTCAGAGGCTGAGAGAGATCTTGGAGTCATAGTTGACTCCAAGATGAACATGAGCCAGCAGTGCAACAAGGCCATCAATAAAGGCAATCGCACCTTGTCTTGTATTAGCAGATGCATGACCAACAGATCGAGGGAGGTGATGCTCCCCCTCTATGCGTTGGTCAGGCTGCAGTTGGAGTACTGTGTCCAGTTTTGGGTGCTGCACTTCAAGAGGGACACAGAGGATCTGGAGAGGGTTCAGAGGAGGGCCACCTGCATGATTTGTGGTCTCCGTGAAAGACCCTATGAGGAGAGATTGAGAGATCTGGATCTCTTCAGCCTATACAAAAGATGGCTGAGGGGTGACCTTGTGGCCGCCTATAAATTTATCAGGGGAGGACAGCAGGGAATTGGGGATGCACTGTTTACCAGAGCACCCCAGGGAGTAACTAGGAATAATGGGTGCAAACTAACGGAGAGTAGATTTAGGTTAGACATTAGGAAGAAATGTTTTACAATAAGAGTGGCCAGAGTCTGGAATGGGCTTCCAAGAGAGGTGGTGCTGTCACGTAACTTGGAGGGCTTCAAGAGGAGGCTTGACAATCACCTGGCTGGGGTCATCTGACCCCATCCTCTTCCCTGTGAGGGGCAGGGGGTTAGACACGATGATCCATTGGGTCCCTTCCGACTCTATATTAATCTATGAATCTATGACTCCAAACCTGGGTTGGGGCTGAAGTCATTGCCGCAACAGCTGCCTGCAACAGTCTGTGGCTCCCCCTGGCTCTGACTCTGTTCCCCCCTGGGCACAAAGCATGTTGAAGCTCTGGCTCCTGCCAAGTCATGTGGCAGCGGCAGCTCTGGCCTTGGGATGCAGTTGAATGGCAGGGGCCAGACCTTACATGTGCTCTGTGCCTGGGGGCAATGGAGCTGGAACTATGCCTGACAGTAAACAACAGGAGAGGAGCAGGGAGAGGGGGGCAGAAGCTACAGGCAGCAAGGGGTGTAGGCACTGGTTGGGGGCAGGCAGGCCACAGGAGGAACAAGTGTGGGGTAAGGGGCCTGCCTGGTTCCTCAGCTGTTTGCATCACCCCATCATGTCCCCTGCTGCTGGTTTC